AACAAATGACGTTGAACCAAGCTCCAATGGGCGGGTCGAAGCGCCCAAGCCAATAATTGGAACCAAGGTAGGAATTTGTTGAGCAATCAAGTGGCAATTCACATACCTCAAGCTCGCGATCCAACTCTTCAAGGCGTTCTTGAAGCTCTGGATTGACTTCAGCCATGATGGATGGCGGTGTCGGGCGATGTGGCCGCTGTAAGGATGAAGGTTGGTGGGTTTATTTGAGGTTAGCCACGGACCTGAGTCTCACAGGTCCAGTGCCAGTCCGTCCAGTTGAAGGGACCCGACGGGATAGCAGAGTCTCGTGACGTAGTCTCAACTCAAGCCTTGGAGGGCGGGCAAGAGATTGCTCTTATTGGTTCTGTGACAGGGCCCGTTGGATCAAAGGGCGGGGTGCCCCTGGGCTGTTTTGGCTGTATCACCATTCTAACCAGTTTTTTTAGCTGAGAATACGGTCCCTTGCGGGTTCATCCTCCCGTTGCCCCTCCTCTCTTGCAGCTCCAACCATATGTTGGCCGCTAAATTTAGTGGCTGGTCACTGTTTTAGCGTGGCATTGGTTGCAGGAAGCAAGATATATATCCTTGAACTGAAGCTCTTCTTCTCAATAGGGTGGCAATCGTGGTATTCGGCAGGCTCGGTGCTTTAGTCAGTATCGTATAACTGAATCTAATATCCTTTTAGGAAATGCTCGCCGTTAGATATGTCATTCTCCTGGCCACATCTAGTAGCTGTTGCTTTTTGTATGGAGTATTCTATTTTAAGAAACCTGAGTTGGCTCTGATAGACCGCCTAGGACCGTGTCGCATCAACCACACAAAGCAAAGCCCAGAAGGTGTGAAACTGGATCTTATCTTCCTGATAGATCACCGCGATGTCAACAGATATGCAAATACTATATGTGCATTTTCATTTTACGACACTCAGATCCCGCAGAGGTCTGATGTAGGGTAAGCCATTGGAGGATCGGATGTCGGTGGTTCGAATCTCCGGATCCACATCACACCTCTTCTCTCACAATCTCACGATCTCAAAATTTCCTTCCATTTTACTTCTCTCACAATTCAACATGCCTTGCATTCCGACAACAACTCGATTGCGGCGAACTTCAGGCCTCTTGAGGCATTCTGAGATATTCGTTAGACACCATGAAGTCATGTGTTGTCTGGGTCAGCTCGACTGATATGATTTTCGACATTTGCTAAAATGCAATCGAATCACCTACATGCTCACCACAATAGTATTTTCATTGGCATTGAACTTGCTCAATGACCTAATCGCATGGTATGTCTATTGTTTATTTCTTTCATCTCATTTCTATTTCCATATGATGAGACACACATAACACAGACCTGTTCTGAACACTTGTGTAGAAAAACATGTTTTTAATCTGATCAAACCCCTTCTGATTCTCTTTGGGACTCGTTCTATTTCAGAGATCCAGTACTAACAAGGCCTCAGGATCTAAAATTGATAGAACATAGAAACCAAAATGGAGTCTGGCTTCGAAGCTTCGACTCTACTGGTTTGTTCTTCTTTTGTTCGCGGCTCCATGTCGCGTCTCTTTGGGACAAAGACGGTTGAACGCCGAACACACCCTCTCCTCCAGTGAGGAGATGTCCTTGTTCAACTAACAACCGTCCATCTTTTACGACTTACTCATGTTCCGGGCCTCGTTCTTTCGCACTGAACAAAGCCCTCGACGAAGACAATGTGCTATTTCAGCTCTTACTGTATCTAAACTATCTTGTAGTAATAATATAAAGGATGCCACAGACTCGATTCCTTAGTTCACCATTCGTCCTCACCCAAGCAATTATCTGTTCCTGAACGCTCTTCCGCATAGTTTGAACAAATCGTCAGTTCTGGCAACAACGCATATCGATACCACTTCGCCAGTTCCAACAAGATCTGAATAGTCACCATAAAACCTAGCAGTACCCGGCAAGTCTCAGGACATTTCCAGATGGACAATCTGTACAGTTCTGCCCCAGAGTATATGGGCAACACCTTAGCAGATATCAACCAACAGGTTTTGAATGGTATGGGTGATGACTACAACTACGACGGACTTTTCAACGAACAGTTCTCATCCGAAGATTTCATCAACTCGTGGGACTTTGGGGCAACCCAGGGCATGGCTCCGAATACAGTCCAGGAAGACGCCCAGCTTCCGGTTGATCCTAAGCTTGAATCGACTGCCGACACTCCCGCCCCATCTGACCTAAACTCCATGTCGAATATGCCCAACGACATGGGAGCTCCTAAGCCTCGTCAGCTACAGGATACAGTTCCAATGCCAAAGACATCTTTGGCGCAGCAGCCCCGACCAGCTCAGCAGCCTCTGGCACTACCCGTGCCTGTACCAGGAAATGCTGCCTCCAGTAGAGTTTCTCAAAGCGTGGATCTCGCAGCAAATGATCAATTTTCACTCTTTGACACTCGTGGACAAACAAACCCGTACTTATTATCCCCTTGCACGTCTTGTGAGAAGCACCAGCTAACCCGAGCCAGGCACATTCCTCCCAATTATAACGCCTACAATTCCTATCAACCTAGTTATCATTACCCGGACAATGGTATCCAAGGGATCTACGGCCCTCAGGGCATGGCACAGTATCCCCTTCAACCTCCAGCTGCAATCAAATCCCAGTCTATGCACAAGATAATCCAAGTAAGCAAATGCGCGAATTGCCGTCAGGACCCTCACCCTGGCCCATGCTTTTCACAGGCAGCTCCCCAGACTCCTCCCCAGGCTCGTCGGCCACCTCAACAAAGAATTCAGCAAGAATCATCCCAAGCACCATCCCAAAAACCAGATGGACGGCCAATTTGGTTGCAGACACCTCCTAAGCGCAAGCGAAATGTTGCATTTGACGACGATGATGATGACGACTCTGACCTGGAAGTTCCCCGGAAGAAGCTTGGTAGAAAGGGACGAACCCTCAAGACTAAGCGTGGAAGGGACAAGGATTTCGAGATTGGAATCAAGATGTATGGGATGTTCCGATTCCCGGAAATGGACTGGGTTTCGCACAGAAGATTCAAATTCCTGTACTTACCTACAGGACAGTTGGAGAAGAAGATTCTATTCTCGGCTGAGGACTTGAAGGACTATGTCTACAACTGTCCTCGAAACCCAAAGCTTTGGATCCAGCAAAATCCAGCGCAGTGCACAGAAAGAACTATCGATGCCGACACTATGTGTCGATACGAGAACTGCCCTGATTCAAACAACACGATCAGACCTGGCTGGGTGCGCGTGGCGTTCGACGAGTTCCATCAGCTTACCTCTTGTGGTCAGAAGGATCCTTTCAAGATGGCTGGTGTTATGCACCTTTGGTGCTTCGAGCAGTGCATCGACCCCGTAGAGGTGATGGCAAATGGGAAGATGATGCCGGATGACCGCGACGACGAGCATCTCATCAAGGAAAAGTCGAACAAAATGGCCATCACTCGGGATTCTGACACAACGATCGTTAAGCATACGATCAGACCTTGGTTCAAAAAGCGTGAAGGTCAACCACTACAAGCTCCTTACGCCAGCTACGCGGAGTCTCTCTCCTACGCACTTGTCAAGCACCATCTGGATCATCAAGTTGGTGCTCGCGCCAGGAGCCGCGGTGGTCGCAACAAGGATAGACCGGAAAGCGAGCTGAAGACCATTGACGTTCACTTGGGCCGTCTCGACTTCTGGGCTGCTCGCGACACTGCTTCCAGGAAGAAGAGGTCGGCGAAGCAGTCTCGTGCTGCTGAGCCTGAGCAGTTGTATATTCCGGCGACCTCCAATGGACTTCCCCCTACCCAAAAGTCTGCTGAACTGACGCCCTACGGCTCGACAAAGAACTTCAGCGATGTGCTGGAGAGTATTTCCGTTGCCAATAACTATGAGTTTGATTATAACGGAGTCATGCCGGAGGCGAAGAAGGAGGAGGAGCCAGTCAAGGTCGAGGATAGCTCAAAGTGGTCTCAGCCAGCTCCAGGGGTCCAAAGAGTATCAATATCAATCAGCGATATTCTATCCCCCAGTATTCTCCTAGAGCAGGAGGGCGTTGTGCAACCGAGTCCCAAAGCAGAGACTGGTCGCAAAGATCAGCCCATCTCGCCACTACGACGAAGCCCCCGCCTCTCAGCTGGGAACATTGGTGATTCTATCCAGACCGAGACCAAGGCTACCACTTCCCCAGCGAAGGCACAAGCCTCTGACGTGGCGTTTCCTACGCCCCCTAAGAAAGTATCCCTCTCTCTGCCCTCTACACCAGAGGGCCAGAGAGCTGCTTCGTTGAGTGACAGTCTGTTCGAAGAGCCATCCGCCCGACCAGCGAAGAACAATTCCCCTCGAGAAGAGGAAGCTCAGGGCTCACCTTTGAGGAGAAGCAGCCGAGTGAGCCCTAAGAAGAAGCTTTGAGGCAGCAGGTGGCGATGACCAAGGACTATCGAAAGTTGCTAGAGTCATGGAGTGGATGTAATAGTACGATATCCCTGCTGGTCAGAGGACTACACAGAATATGGAGTTTTTATTGGGTTTAGAGGATATGGGTCAAAATCTATGGAGCCATGGGATATATCGCGTTTTTGCAATACCCCATTTCTCATGGTTCAGGATAGCAGCATAGCATAGCAATCAGTGCATTAGACCTGGCTCAGTATTCAGTCCGGAGTTTGGAGTTTATGTTCACCTTCCTGTTTTAGAATTAGAGAATCAAATTGTGTACACGAATGAATGAATAAGCTATGAGTTGCAGTGAGTGAAGTCAAGTGATCATGAAGATATCGAGAGAGTTGGAGGTGGTCAAAGAATCAGTTGTTTAGAGAGAGAACTTTGATCACCGTTACAAATGGCTCTATAGATAGAACATTGCTCTTTATATTAAAAGCTCAGTTCTTTGTGAATATTTCGAGTATCGGGTCGAGTCTCTTTGTTTCTTCAACAATAACGACACCAGCATCATAGGACCTCTCTTTCAAGCTACAAGCTATAAGCGACAAAACGCACGGCTCAACCCAGGGTCCAGCCGCGATCTTCAAAGAAATCCAAGCCAAGCCAAGTCAAGTCAAGGACAATCAAATCGTCTATCTGATCAGGCAAAAAGGGTCCAAGCTTCAACAAAGAACCTCGAGCTCCCCCAAGCTCCAGCTCGCCCGTTTTAGCAGTGACGTTGTCCGCATCTGGTGGGGGAAGTAAGGGAACGACCCGTCCGTTGAGAGGGGTCGGGGGAGGGGGGTACGGGAACGCCGATGCAGGCTTACAAGCTAAACAAGGTTGAGGGCTGCTAGGACAGATCTGCGGCCTTGTAGCTGAGCCGGCATCTGTAGCTGTGAGTTGTCGATATTGCTCTTTTGGGGGAGAAGGGAGAACGGGACTTGAGAGGGTGGCATGGATGCCAAGAGAGGAGAGTTGCGTTTCGGCGAGTGCGAGAACAATAAGTCGTGTGCTATATTTGAAGCTCACGTCTCTTGTCTTTGGGACATATTCTTCACCTTCGTTGTTCAGTTCGTTCTGTTCTACAAGTAGCAGAATCATAAATATCGCTCTGCATCGCCCATACCCTGCCAAGCGAGATCAGAGCAAGGATCAACGTGGTCAAGTTCAGTCTATCGACAGGCGATATTCGGCGAGAGCGAAGCTATATCAGCACATCCCACTGCAGTACATACATAGACTGTATCAGCCTTGGTAGCACACGGCATTGAGAGAGGATAACGTTCTACGGCACAACGATAAATCCAATCACGTGTGTCATACCTTTTTTTCCCTTTTATTATTTTTCGGGTTTTCTCCAAAAGCTCGCCTGAGCTGTCGGTATTTGCATCACACATTCCATACATACCAGAGCAGAGCCAGAGCAGGCCAAAGAAGGGTTGCATCCCTTACCTGTCGGAGAATAACAGAGAGCCATCAGTGGTTAATTCTCGAATCAACTACTGCAAGTTAAACAGCTTCAGGTTCGTGGATCAAACTAGAACCATCCAATCCATCTCTTATTCCGGAATTTGTAGTCGGTCCTAACATATTCTACTAGTTAACTACAGCGACTATAGCAGTGACGGAGACGGCGCGCAACAGGAACAGGTCCACCGTTTTTACTTTGCAGCTTGAACCTTTTAGGCGGTACCTTACAGGGCTTTTAGTGGGGCGACCACCTAAACCATCCCATTCTCCAAGCATCTCCATCTCCAGGGCATCTCATCCCGTCTCCCAGGGCCCTCCACCTCCACATCCACATCCACATCCTAGATTCCAGGGCAGGCATCAAATCGGCCGAGTTGATACAACTGTCGTCGCTCAATTGCCTCTCTCTCCCTCTCTCGTTTCTTTTCTTCTCTCTATTTTCATTCTACTCTCCCAAAAGCAAATCATGGGAGCTGAAGTCAAGCCTGCTTTGCAGGTGATTGTATTGGTACGTATCATCAAACGGTTAACAGCCTATCCCGATCCCTCGTTTGTTTACATGTGCACCGTTACATCTCCAAAAACCAACCAACACCCACTGAGGTTCACCCGTGATATAAGAACGGTTTTGGTGCATGACGACCAGAAACGCAACACAACACAACACGTCGGATCATGTCGTGATTCGTGGTGGCGTTTGTTCTGCCGTATCCTCATACTCTATTTCACAATTCGGCTTCTCACCACTCACTCATATGAATAATCCAGCTAAACTCTAGCTAACCTTCTATCACAGGGCTCAGGAGGTGGTCCTCAAGAATCAAACACCACTGCTTTCCTAGTCCGATCTGTTGCCCAAAAATGGCATCGTGGCTCTATCGTCGCTGTCGATGCTGGCGTCCATCTCTCTGCCATCACACGTATCATGGAAGAATCGATACCTTCTCCGCCACCTCCTCCTCCCTTCACACTCACCACAGGCCCCTTCGCAGGTCTTGAGCTACCTTACTCGTCACCTTCTGCTAATGCATCTCACATCACTCGCTCTCTTGTCGACACATATCTCATCACTCACCCTCACCTTGATCACATCTCTGGCTTTGTAGTCAATACTGCTGGCTTCCCAGGCACAAGGCCAAAGAAACTGGCTGCTCTACCAAGCACAATCCAAGCTTTCAAGAATCATATCTTCAATAATGTGATATGGCCAAACCTGAGTGATGAGAACAACGGAGCTGGTTTGGTGACTTATATGCGATTGGTTGAAGGTGGTAGTCCGACACTCGGCGACGGTGAAAGTAGGGGTTACATCGAAGTTGCAGACGGACTCCTTATCAAGGTTTGGGTTGTAAGCCATGGGCATTGCCTCGAGAAGCATAGCCACAGGGGCTCAACATCAAGTGCATCTACTCGCTTCAGCAGTCATGATGCATCCATGCCACAGGGCCCCATCGCGCGCTCAGCATCTTACTACCCAGGATCTATCTCCCTACATCGAGGGTCACTCATGATCCCCCAAAACAGCTTCAGCCCTGTAACCAATGCATCGGAACAGGAGCAAATTTGCGTCTACAACTCAAGCGCCTACTTCATCCAGGACCCCACCACTCACCGCGAAGTCCTAATTTTCGGGGACGTTGAGCCTGATAGTATATCGCTAAGCCCGCGGAATCTGCATATTTGGCAACAAGCTGCCCCAAAGATCGCCGCTGGTAACCTCAAGGCTATCTTCATCGAGTGCAGCTACGACGAGTCGCAGGCCGAGGATCGTCTTTACGGGCACCTGAAGCCCCGTTATGTCATCGAGGAGCTGCGTGCCCTGGCTCATGAGGTCGAAGTCGAACGCAAGTCGCATTATTCCGAACCTAAGAAGCGCAAGCGCATGGGCAGCACGACTGACGAGACTCCACGACGAAATCCTTCTATCGCGAATCTCACCTCTGAAGACCCCGTGTCTCCCAGAACCATCAAGGCTTCGACACCGGATTACGTTCACCCTGGTATTGAAACACCTCCTACACCGCACCTTGCTTCGCCGACCGCTGAGTTGACGCTCAACCCATCTGATTCCTTCACATCTGTGCCCAAGATAAAACGGCCCCTCGAAGGTCTCAAGGTTGTCATCATCCATGTCAAGGATCGACTGGATGATGGACCCAACGTTGGAAACACTATTCTGAAGCAGCTGCACAATTTTGAGAGTGAAACTGAGTCACCCTTGGGATGCGAATTTATCATCTCTCATTCTGGTCAGAGCATCTATCTCTAAGCACTTCATTTACAGGCGTTTGCACTTTTCTGCTTTCTCTGGCATCTAGCCATATATGATTTCTTTTGTTCTATAGCACCTGGCTATAAGCTCTGTGGGCTTGTGCTACCGTTTGGGTTTATGTTTGTTAAACATTTTGCTTATATGAGGCGACGGTTTGGTTTATGAGTATAGCTCAGGCATTGAAAGGTGGGCATGTATCACTCCTGGGGAATTGTATTGCATGATTGTCATTTTGTTATTAAGCCTGGTTTGCGGGCTAGTTTATTCTATATATTTGGTGTTTGGTCATGAATGAATATATACCAAGTCTGACTCAGTTCTTTTGCTTTTGTATCTTTTCAACTCCCTCTTGGCCACCGACGTCCTTATCAAAATCTGTTCTGGGGATCTCAAACGCCTCAGTAACTCTTGCATATGTGATTCCTCCTAATCGGCTGACTGGCTTCAACACACCAGGATCAACCATATTCTTATCCACGTTCAATGCATCCTCTCGAACCCAGAATCGAGTTCCCTCGAAAACAGCCATGCAGCCAGACTTGTTTCCAGGTCGTGCCTTGCTGTCGAACTCCTTGAGCATGTCGAGCTTGCACTCAATGCTGACAATAGCCTCGCCCACTCGAGCACACTTGACGGTCTCACAGTCGTACTTGGGTGTCAGGCCTGAGATATCCCACTCAGATACATCAGCAGGGGCGTTGACGCTTGCTGAGTTTGCGGCTTCGATGAAGTGCTCTGAGATGATGTTGATAACACACTCGCCGGAGTCGGAGACGTTGCGAAGTGTATCCTTCGCATTTTCGAGCCCAGAGGCGAAACCAACAACAAACATGGGCGGATCGTGGCTCATCATGTTGAAGTAACTGAATGGAGCGAGGTTCTTCTTTGTACCATCCGGAGCTTGACTGCTCACGAAAGCGATAGGACGCGGTACAATGGCAGAGATGAGAAGCTTGTAGTTGAACCCCGCAGGGCGACCCTCCTCATGAGGATCTATGGTGACATGTTTCTTATCGCCATCATCCTTGCCCAACTTATTCGCACCCTCACCAAAAGTCCAATCCGCATCAACAGTCTTGGTGTAGCGAAACTGAGACTTGGCATCCAGCTCCGGTCTCGAAGCCTCAACCCCCTTAAAATCCGGGTGAGGATTGCGCTTGATGATTGCGTCTCCCATGATGAATCGAGAGGTTGAAAATAGTCGCGATGAGTGAGTTGTGAGCGGTTTAAAGATGCGATGCATGGAGGAGTTGACTTGGGTTAAAATAAAAGTATGGGGATATTCGGAGGGGCTCGGGGTTAGATGTTGATTCCGGGGTATCTTTTCTATGGCAGTTCATTGGTAATGTTGCTTGCTAAGATCGTTTGTAATGCGTGATAAAGCAAGTGGATTGTCTTTTTTCTCCACTGGTATTGGCTTTGGGTGAGGTCATTGATTGAGTACATTTCGAGTCAGGTATAGAGCCTTGATTCTTGACTATGATTCGAAGAGAGACTACTAGTTTTCGGAAATACGGAATAAGATGTATATGATCTTATAAGTGGTGGTTACTTTGGTAGAAGAAGATCACTTCTGTGATATATGATATACGATGTAAGAGAATCATCATTGCTCGTGGATATTCGCCTACAACTGATGAAGTCAATACTGTAACATCGTTGAAACTGCTCGCAACTTGACCAATTACTACTAACTTTGGACTATGATCAAGATCCATCCTTGTGATCAATCATCATTGGCCATCAAATCCAACACTCCTCCTGCTTGGTGTCCGATGAATGGTACTCTGAGCTGACATCAGAACTCAATATCTATGACTAGATCCCAGCTACAAGTTTAAGAACCAGATAAGAACAAAGTCATACGAACTCCAAATAAGAACATAGACAGAAGCGTATCGTATCAACCATATATATTTAGGGAATCATAATCTATTCATAGTGATAGATTCCCAAGATTACGCTGTTCCAAGTGTAGGGTAGCCATGTTACATAATGCAACCACTATAACCACTTCATGTGACAGCGCGAGCTAGTGTAACGCGGAAAGAGGAGTCATTCGCCGCGTCTGACTCTAAGAAAAAAAGTTGATCGTAGATTTCCAGCCGAAATATTATATCGATTACCTATGACTTAGGCAGATGATGCATTTTTGTATCACGCCGAATTCCCTCTTAACTCTTTAAAACTCTCTCATGCAAACATGGGGCACTCGACGCCTCGCACATTTATTCAATTCTTGTAGCCGTCCATTACCACCAACTTTTTCATCAACTTCACCTGGACTTTATTTCTGCAGACGAGCCTGGAACGGTTCAAAGCCAAAAGTAAAGTCTCGAGCTTTCAGGAAACCCCGCCTGTCCTCAGAACCTATCGTAATATCAACACCAAAAGTGAGCGAGAATTCAGCTGGTGCTCCAATGACGACTACAGTTGAGATCGCTTCGGCGCCCACCGTGGACACTCCCGGGACCTGTCTCTTTGTCCACAGCGATAAACGGGCGTATCTGTTTGGGCGACCCGAAGAAGGGACTCAGCGCGCTTTTCAGAGCAGGAGACTTGGAATGGGAGCAACAGAACAGGTCTTTCTCAGTGGCAGTGTCTCGTGGGAGTTGGTTGGAGGTCTCTTCGGCTATGTTCTCACAGTTGGCGGTGCACTAGAGGCGAGCAGGGAACAGACGGCATTGATCAATGAGGAAAGGAAGAGCAAGGGCCAAAAGTTGACCAAGCAAGCTGCTTTCGAAACCATTCACATCCACGGTGGCGAGAATCTAAACCACACTCTCGCCGCATGCCGTCCGGTCATTTTACGTCAACCGATCTCTGTGCGCACGCATGAGCATAGAGAAAACCCTCGTCTTGAGAAAATCGAGAGCATAGAACCCGACTGGAAAGACGACGTGCTCCGTGTGTGGAAGATTCCCATTCAACGAGATCGTTCCAGCAGCCCAAAGAAGCGCCGCAGGTCGAGCGCCATCGCCATCAGTGAAGACCAAGAGGAGGCACAGTTCAAAGAATGGTCACCACTTTCAGACCCTGAATATGCGACCACTCTTGTTGAGAAAGTCATGTTCAATGGAAGACTCAAAGGAAACGGTATGCTCATCCCTGTCAAGCTGAGCGAGGTCAATCCCAAAGATACTACTATCTTTATACGGGAGGAAGGCAAAGCAAAGCTTTACAAGGGTCCTAGACCAGGCGATGGGTCAGAATTGACAGAGCCGGATCAAATTGTTTGGGTATTCCCCGAGAAGGAGGCTCAAATTGATCGCAGCGGGGATATCCTCAACGTGACACATCGACCACTGCCCCCAACAATCTACAGCCAAAGCTCTATGTGCTATATCGTCAAATGCGTCGACCGCCGCGGAAAATTCAACCCTCAGAAGGCCAAGGAGCTTGGAGTACAGGTCACTGACTTCAAGCAGCTGACTGCGGGCAATACTGTAGTGACAAAAGATGGCGTCACTGTAACCCCTGAGCAGGTCCTTGGCGAGACTCAGCCCGGCCAAGGATTTATTCTCGCCGACATCGAATCTCGCGACCTCATTGACTCCTTTATGGAGCGGCCTGAATGGTCTAACTCCGAATTGATGTCTCATGTGGCTATTGTGTACTGGATTCTCGGTCCTGGAATGGCAGACGATGCTAGAATCCAGAAGTTTGTGGATGAGCACCCCACGATGAAGCACTTCTTCTGCGCCCAAGACACTTGCCCCAATATGATCTCTCTGGCTGGGCCTGGGCAGTTACAGACCAAGCTACGGAGGGTCGACCCTGAGAGATTTACTCTCCTCAAATATGATAACGATATCAAGGGAGCCATGCCGAATGGACCACAAGTTGAGTCTGGCCGGACAGGAACCAAAATTGCGCTCATGCCCCGACTCAAATTCGGCGAGGGTGAGATTGCCCCGTTTCCTGATCTCATGGAGGCAGCTCAGTCTGTCAGTGATGAGATTCTCGAACTAGCACGGAAGGCTCGTGAAGAGACATCTGATCCCGAGTTTTTGCAAAAATTGGAAGAGGATGAACAAGATATTCCCAGCCGCGATGCTGAAATCATCCCCCTTGGAACTGGCTCTTCCATCCCAGGCAAATATCGCAATGTTTCGTCAACACTGATTCGGGTACCTGGTATTGGAAACTATCTTCTCGATGTTGGTGAGGGCACTTTGGGTCAAATCCGACGTCTCTTTGGAGAGGAGGAAACTGGAAATATCCTCCGAGATCTCAGGTGCATTGTCATCAGCCATCTTCACGCTGATCATCACCTTGGTACTCCCAATATGATCAAAGCCTGGTACGAGCACACCATCGAAGACACCAATGCCAAGCTAGCTATATCTTGTATATCAAGGTACAAGGCGCTCTTGGAAGAGGTTTCTCAGGTCGAGGATATTGGGTTTCACAGACTCCATTTCCCCCATTGCAGCAGCACCAAACCTGATAAGTACAACACCGGCCCCTTCGTGATCGAGAACGCCGACTTTGGGCTCCGTGCTATCAAGCGCATTCCAGTTCCTCACTGCTGGCTCTCCTACGGAACAGAACTCGAGCTCACATCCGGTCTCCGCATCGCATACTCAGGTGACTGCCGTCCCTCAAACGAGTTCGCTCGGGAGTGCGAAGGCGCCCATCTACTTATCCACGAGTGCACGTTCGACGATGACATGCTGGCTCACGCTAAGAAGAAGGGCCACTCTACGATGGGCGAGGCACTAGAGATTGCACGCAAGATGAAGGCTCGAAGAACGCTGCTCACGCATTTCTCGCAACGCTATGTCAAGGCTGAGTCGTTGAAGAGAGACGAGAGAGGTCAGGCTGGCGAGGCTCTCATGGCTCTTGATCTCATGAGTGTTAAGCTGGGCGATTTCAAGAAGGCGGCTGCTTTCCAGCCTGCGATTGCTATGCTCATGGCGGATGCAGGTGACAAATAAGGTCATGGTATGAATAGACTTGTATGATAGTAAAAGTATAGAGTTGCAACGCTATATATGACCTGTTGATGATGACTGTTTATTGTTCGAAGTGACTTGGACTGTTCATGTCTATAGACCCTTAGGAATAGAATAGATGTGAGTTTCTCCTGTAGGTACATGTCTCGAACTACTCACAGCCGTTAACGCAAAGTTGTAAGATACAATAGCAACTTTCTAAATTAGAAGCTCACTAGATATATCTTAATAACCAATACTAATTATAAGTTCTATCCATGTCGAGGCATGTCCTCTAGGGTGGCCGCATATGCGACTGCACACACGGGATTCAGCATCACCGCAACTCCACCCTCGAAACAGGCTTTCAGCGAACAAGCAACTCAAATTCTTACCCATCAACAACATATCCAAGACATTCCTACCATTCAGACATCAACAGCAATGATCTTACAGGTCAACGTGCCAATCTTGGAACAGAATAGCGGCGATGCTCCTCATGGGATATAAAAGGTTCCGGCCGCGTGGCCTAATGGCTAAGGCGCTAGATTTCGGTCTCCAGCTTCCGAACTCTCTAGAGATTCCAGGTTCGAATCCTGGCGTGGTCGATTACTTGCTGGAATATGTCTTTTGCCGACTGGTCACTCGTCGGCATTGTGCTTTTTGCAGATCCGGTACTCAGAGTTGGAGACTCGGGATATCGACCCGCCAATCGCGGCTTGTTGATTTACTGCTTAGGATTTTGGTATCTCTTGGGTGACTGATATCATTGCTCGGATAAGGGACCGGCCCGATATAGATGGACCCTGAATACTTCTTTTGGGCTTCAAGTTGTGTCTATCATATAGCGATCTCTCCCAGAAATTCTGTATTAATTCTAGAGAGATATTCAGAGACATTCATCTCTAACTCGGGACTCGTCCCGATTCTGCTTATGCGTAACCCCACGATTTATAGCCCTGGCCGGGGCTCTATGTACGTAAATTAAGCCATGTGCGGGCTCCGAAAGCGGGACTCACCTGCGGCTACGGTAGCTTATCGTCGCGTTTATTCAGAGCAATCCCCCTCCACCGGATTTTTTTGTCCCACGAAGTGGTCATTCGGGCATTTCTAGTCCACAAGAACCCCTCTAGCGGTCAATTAACTGTTTACCTTGGCCTCGCCTTGCTTTACTTCAGGTCAGGTAAAGCCTTGTTTGTTTTTCCCTCCCGCCGCCCTCTTGCTCGCGAGCGAATACCTT